CAGTTCAAGCTAGACGTTTTTAAAGTAAATATTACTGATAAATAACGGTTGAAAAGGTTAAAGCAGCGTTTACACTTTTCTTTCCGAACTATTCACATTTGTCGTTTCGATTTTTCAAAATTTCTCGTTTCGAAATACTTACATTTCTCGTTTCGAAATATTTACTTCTCGTTTCGAAATACTTACATTTCTCGTTTCAAAAATTTTTACATCATTTCTCGTCATAAAAATCAGAGCAGAAAATATTTTTAAAGCAGACGTCAGTTCATGCACTGCACAGAGTCATAACTCTGATGGGCAGGCAATCATTTCAATTCCACTCCAGTACACTCCACTGCACTTTAGTATAGACACACACTGACTCACACACACAAAAACACTCACACATACACTCACACACATACACACACACATACACACACGCACGCATACGCATACATACGCATAGATACAAACACACTCATTCACAAACGAAGTCAGTATGAAGACAACACTGAATTCGGAGACATTGGTGGATGTAATGCTTACTAAAAACATCCAACGTTTTTTGAATCAAAATTTAAAATCTGAGTCTGTGTAGGCAAAGAAACAAAAATGTTTACTAAGTTATGATTGTTTTTTATTTTCAACTCTTTCTTCCAACTTGTGAAATCTCTTTTTCATTCGCTTGAATATACAACACCGATAAAAATGGAAACAACATTTGCAACAGCAGTAGGGAGAGTCGGCAGCGGTCGCATCGCTGACAGTAGTAATACTGAAATTACTATTACTTCTAAACTTGTACAAGCCATCATGAAAGTTGTACTCTAATAACAAAAGTACTACCTGCGTAGAGGATCAAAGAAGTTAGAAGGGCATATAGGAGTTGTAAAAGATACCAACACAGTATCACAACAATTGAACCTGTAAGCCAGCCGGTACAGTCCTACTCGTAAAATTTAATGCCAAGCTAACATAAAACTTACATCTTCTAATCAAAGTATGATGGAAGAGCAACAGGAGTAATGGAAAACATGGCGAAGAGTAAGGAAATAATGGCGAAGATTAAAAATATTATTTATGTTCTTTTGTTTTCTGTTCTTTGGGATGGTGGTTAATTAGAAAATGAAAATGGCAGTTATGCGTTGGATTCAACCGTTGTTTCGAAAAAAAAATTTGACGAGATTGTACAGCGCGCACTAACATTAATATTTATTACACTAATATTTCAATAAGGTATCCAACTATTAATTAACACAGTTACAAGTTTTAGCAAAGCATTAACTCCATACTTCATCGATAATATTATTATTAAAAAAAGATAATTGCACGTACAATAGTCCCCTAGAAAAACATTCACTAAATTGTAAATGTCACCTGCATATTTCGTTGCAGTTGAAATTTTCGTATACATTAAAAAAATGCAAACCCTCTTGATGGGGGCAATTCTGAATGTTGATGTCTGACTCTCCATTTCTTTGAACTTTGCCAAAACTGCTTTTGTTGAAGGAGTGAATTGTTGTTGTTGTTGCTGCTGATGTTGTTTCTGTTGCTGATGTTGTTGCTGATGTTGTTTCTGTTGCTGATGTTGTTGATGATGTTGTTGCTGATGTTGTTGCTGATGTTGTTGCTGATGTTGTTCTTCTTGTATTTGTTGCTGGTGGATTGCAGATGACTTTGGCAGCGTTAATGATCTCGTCATCCTATCGCTGTAATCTATTGTCGCGAAAGTTTGTTGAGCAACCAATTGTTGCTGTTGCAGTTGTTGTTGTTGCAGGAACGATTGCTGAGGTAACGATGACGACAGCAATGGTGGTTGATGATAATGATGTTGAGGACGGTGATGATTATAGTGATGATGACTTTCAATCATGGACATTGGACGATTCAGTGACCTCGACCTTAGCTTGCCGGAAACGGAATCTGTCGAGGGTGAAGGTTAACTCGTTGGCTTATTACTTTAAAACGTGTTCGAAAAAATTTATGAACATGATTAACCTTTAACCTTTAAAAATGTCTTTGACCTCGTAGTAATACAAGCAAAATACTTTATAACCTTTTTCTAGATTTTCCAGCATTTTCAACCTTCTCTCGTGCTCCTCTAACATTCTCCACTGCGCGAGGAGACTCTTCGTCATGAGGAAACTGTTGTTGCTGTTGTTTGTATTGTCAACGTGCTGCTGAAGTTGTTGTGTTTCTTGCTGCTGCTGCTGCTGCATCTTTTGTTTCTGTTGTTGTACTGATTGATGCTTCGATGGAAAATCGCTCCCACAACTTTCCGAGTCCCAGTCACTGGAACAAATTGATTCCGACGGAGACTTATCCCTACCGCTGGTCGCAGCAACCATGCCGCTGCTGCTGTCTCCGTCAATTACACTTCCGGAACAGCTCCCACACTCCATCATTCCTCGACCGCTTCCAAAAAAATGGCCATCGTAGTTCCTGGTCAGACTGTAGCTCTTGTACTTGTCAGCGCTGCTCGATCTGGAAAACGTGCTTGCCAAGTTGTTCTGATAGTTCTCCTTCTCGAGACTTTGGAATTTTGCCAAGAGAGTTTTTGTGGTGTTGGCGGGCGGCAGTTCGTCGGATCGGATGCTGGACTTGCTTCCGTGGCTTTTGATGACGACCGTTGATGATGAAGATGTTCTTGGATGGGGTTGACGGGATTTAGTGAATGTTGTTGTGTATGCTGTAGCAGTTGGTGTAGTTGCTGCTATCGTTGCATCTCTGCAAGTTGAATCTGGTTTTGTGACTGACGAGGTTGAGTGCTGCAAACTATCTGTCGCTGAATCTTCAGGATTTTTTTTTGGAAGAGATGTTGTTGTGGATGCGGTGGTGGCTTGCTGTTGCTGCTGCAGTTGCTGGTGATGACGTTTTTCAACATTCTCTCCCCCGCTAATCAATCTTGCTCCGGCCACATCTTCATTTTTATTTTCTTTCTCGCGCTCATCATCGCCTCCATCTTGCGCAGGCGATCTAAAAAAAAACAAATGTGTGACGTCATCGGTCTGGTGTTATGGCAACCAATGAGATTGCGCGCAGGAATCCATGAAGAAATTAACGCTGCCTATGAAGATGACGATGATGTCAATGACGATGATGGTAATAATGACGATGATGACGATGATGATGATGATGATGATGATGATGATGATGATGATGATGATGATGACCATGGTGATGATGATGATTGATAGGATGCTGAATTAAAGTGATGGTAATAATAATAATAAGAAGAAGAATGATGACGAAGATAAAAAATGATGACGCCATCCTTAAAAATTACCAAAAACTATATAAATGTGAGTGGAAAAAAATAAAAGTAGAAACCGTGAAAAAAAAAACAAGAGACTAGGCACTGACAGCAATTAAAGAGCGAACATTCTTAAGAGGATTTGTACAAAAAACAACAACAGTAGTAATGATGACAGGACTGAACTGGCTGATGTGTTAAGAATAAATTAAAGGATAATTGGTTAAAATGAATGCTATTATGATGATGACGATGATGACGACGATGACGACACGGTGACAAATGACGATTTATCTTCAGCTCTTTCTTAGCACGAGTAAAAAAAAATTTAAATTAATGATTTCTAGAAACAAAGACGTCGTTTTAAACTGGAGATAAAAGAAATTTGGCTAAAAAAAGCGTTTTATTTGTGGTTAAATGACACTATAACTTTTTTACAACTACTAAAAAGCCTATTAAAAATAACATAATTTATTAATTTATTTCTTATTACCATAAGATGTTTTTAAAGTTATGACAGAGTTTATAATTTTGAGGAAAATATAATGGAAATAAGAAGATAATCATCATCATCATCAACTTGTCATCATCATCATCATCAACTTGTCATCATCATCGTCGTCGTCGTCGTTATTACTATCATAAAAAATCGTTACTATCAGCAACTTCCAATTCTCTCCGGTCATTAATGTTCTGTGTTAGGAAACACGTGGTCTCACTCCAGTGCAACCAATTACACACATACTAACATACAAACCAACATATAAATACATACATACATACATACACACATACAAACATACGTACGTACATACAAACAAACAAACATACAAACGTATATGTACATACATACATACATACAAACACACATACAAACAAACAAATATACAAACAAACAAACACACAACAAACAAACAAACATGCATACAATACATACATACATACACACATACATACATACATACACACGAGCACACTTACATGCCTATATGTTCTTGAAAAATGTTTATACATAATTTATATTTTTAATGATGGATGTTCAGCTTTTTTGTACACAGAAAAACAAGCATAAACTGAACTATGAATGTGTGTGTGTGCGTGCGTGTGTGTGGTGCGTGTGTGTGTGGTGTGTGTGCATGCGTGTGTGTGCGTCCGTTTATTTCTAAAAAATCCTTGATTAGACATCAGATGCGTCTGCCCATAGGAGCACGAATACAAAATTAAATTTCAAAAAGGCACAGAACGTATTATACATACCAACGCTTTATACACGTTCCAATATAATTGAAATATTCTATTGAACATATGTTTTTCAGATATATTTATCTATAATGCATACATATACACACAGACAGACAGACAGACGTACGTACATACATACATACATACATACATACATACATACATACATACATACATACATACATACATACATACATACATACATACATACATACATACATACATACATACATACATACATACATACATACATACATACATACATACATACATACATACATACATACATACATACATACATACATACATACATACATACATACATACATACATACATACATACATACATACATACATACATACATACATACATACATACATACATACATACATACATACATACATACATACATACATACATACATACATACATACATACATACATACATACATACATACATACATACATACATACATACATACATACATACATACATACATGATAAAAAGGAACTACTTTGAGAAAAATAGGGCATAGAACATGTTGGGTTAGCAAAATCTATATGGTGAGTGTAAAATTGTTGGAATGGGCCCCACCATTTTAATTTATTCCTGAGTAGCAAAGGTTAACCATTTAAACCACCATCTATAATTGTAAATGCGTATGAATGAATACATACTGCTCTGTCATTTTTCTTACTTAAAGTGGGTATAACAATTTGTATGCTCTCGGAAATATGAATATGGAGCCATAAATAAGATGTTTAGTGCAGTGTGAGAGTAGAAAGGAAGTGTTTACGAATATTAATGTGTTCATGAATATTAATGTGTTCATGAATATTAATGGAAATGTATATTTATTTTTAAGGCCTTTTTACATGCAGAAAATCTACATACAATCACGTATATTTTCTCATTTCTATACTTTACATATTATTATTATTATTATTTTTATTATTATTATTATCATACATACACAAATCACGTTTATCATAACCTACACCTACATAAAGACATCACTTATTGACATGCACTCTCATACACACGTAGATACATTAAGAACAAACACACGTAGTACATGTATCAAGATACACACACATATCCTATTGTACAATTTACACACGCCTTAAATTACAAATGGATACAGAGAGAGGAGAGAGAGATAGAGAAAGAGAGAGAAAAGAGAGAGAGAGAGAGACTGATTTGGTTAAATATAAAAACGTATCCACATCATTTTTTGCTAAGCTGTACTGCATCATCCTTACACCTATCTCTTAGAAAACTGGTGATGGAAAAATTTATGAAAAATAATTACAGAGTAAAAATAGTATGAAAAATCGCAAAATGAATGAGAATATATAGTAGTAGAATATATATATATATATATATATATATATATATACATACATATAACTATATATAAAATATTTATATATATATATATATATATATATAGTTTAGTAGTATATACAGTTATTAGGAAATATCATATAGTATATATATAGTGGTGAAACAAGTTAACAGCTTCAATTATCTCGGAAGTCTGATTACCTCAGGTTGTAAATGTGATATGGATATCAAAAGAGGGATAGCTATGGTTAAAGATGCATATTCTAAAATGAAAAACATCCTTACCAATAGTAAAATCAGAATATCAGCAAAATTAAAACTGTTAGGGTGTTTTATTTTTCCTCTGCTAACTTACAGCTCTGAGTCCTGGACGATTTCTAAAGAAATGGAAAAAAGATTAACGCTGCTGTGATGTGGTTTTTGAGGAGAATTATGAAAATTAGTTGGAACTCTCATACTTTGAATAAGGATGTATTAAAACAGTCCAGTTGTGAAAAGAGAAAATTACTACAGATAATCCGACGGGGGCAGTTAAAGTATTTCGGTCACATCACGCGGAAAGAAAAAATGGAAAATCTAACAACTACTGGAAAGATTGCAGGGAAATGAGATCGCGGTCAACAACGAATCACATTCGTGAAGTCCTTGAGTCACCCGTTGAATATCACCACATTTCAACTACTACAAAATGTTAAAGATCGGTTTTTGTTGAGGTCGATGGTCACTAATGTTCTGAAAGGAAAAAAGCATGAGAAAAAAGAAAGAAGTAGTAGAATAATAAATGATAGTAATAATAATGTTATTATTAATTATAATATTAATAATAATGATAATAGAGAATAAAATATTGCAAAATAATATTATACTTCTTATCCGGTTCATGTTCAGTTCTTTCCTTTTCTAATTCGTTGCGCTGAAATGGAAAAAAATATTTGCCTTCATCACCATCATCGCTATCATCATCATCATCATCATCATCATCATTACAAAATCATCATCACCATTACCTCATCATCATCATCATCATCATCCATCACCATCATCATCATCTTCGTTTAAATGTCGCCATCACGTCACTTAACTTATGTTACACACTTTCTTCATTCTTATAAAGCTTCTGGTTGTGGGTTTTATTTAAAATAATTTTATCAATTTTGAAAAAAACCATTTTTTTCAAATTTTTAGTTTTACTGCAATGAAAATTTTTTTAATTTTCTTGTGAGTTAAAGAAAAAGTTTATTTTCAATTTTTTTTGTGAAAATGGCGAGTTGTATACGAGGCAGGCTGAATAGAACTTTATAACGATTAAAAAAATGTATCGTCATAAATTATAATTTGAATGAGACTAAAGTTGAACTATACAAAAAACACAAATTAAAATGTTTTATAATAAAAAACAAAGATGAATAAATTCAAATAAATAAATTTAAATAAATAAAAATAAAGGAAAAATAAGAAATATAGAGCATTGCAAATGCAATTAAACATGTCAATCCATGTTCACCCGTCCATCCATCTTCATTTGCAAGTAAATGAAATTGGAATATTTTAAGGTCTGACGTATTTTTTTCATTCATTTTTTAAAAGATTTTATTTCACTCTAACACCTTTCACTCATTTTCTTAAAAATTCTACTTCACTCAGTCATTCTTCATTCATTTTTTAAAAATTTTACTTCACTCAGTCCTTCTTCATTCAATTTTAAAAGTTTTTATACCTAGTCACTCTTTTTTGTTATTTTTGTTCTCTTTCTTTCTGTCAAAGATTCTGTATATTTCAATTTTTACAATCCTTTTATCACCTGATCGATTCTAGCGACATACTTTCATAATTTTACCGTATAATTTTACTTTATAATATTTCATCCTAAACTCAACAAAAAAATATTACCCATTTTGTTTAATGACGTCATCGTACAAGATTATGACGTTATAAATTGTTTTAATCTTTGGTTTACGAGTCAGAGAGTTAATGATCGTTCTATATGATTTTATGTTCATCTGAAGTCTGGCAACATTGTCGTCTTCATCGTCATCATCTTTATAGCTATCAGTAGTAGTAGTAGTAGTGGTAGTAGTAGTAGCAGTGGTAGTGGGTAGTAATAGTAGTAGTAGGTAGTAGTAGTAGTGGTAGCAGTAGTGATAGTAGTGGTAGTAGTAGTAGTAGTAGTAGTAGTGATAGTAGTGGTAGTAGTAGTAGTAGTAGTAGTAGTGGTAGTGGTAGTAGTAGTAGTAGTAGTAGTGGTAGTAGTAGTGGTAGTAATAGTAGTAGAAGTAAGAAATAATCATCATCTTATTTAAAATTTTGTTATCATATAAACGTTCTCATATAGTTATTAATCATGTATTGTATCATAATCAACGGACATTAATTCTATTGATTCTATCGTGATAATTAATAACCTCCTTTGTTAATCTCTGTTACCATTGTCGTGGTCGTCTTAATCGTCATCATTACGTCATCATCATTACGTCATCATCATTACGTCATTGTCATCATCCTATCCCCAGTTTACTTCATCTTCCGGAATGAACTGCAGCTTCCCAGTTTCTCTTTCGATGACGCCATCAATGGCGTGTTTGTTCACGTGCATGGACACCCTCGTCACCAGCACATCCCTATTTTTGGAATCGGATCCGGTAGTGAGATCGTTTCCGGTTGCCGATTTTTCTTGGAGTATTTCGTAAATGTAAGTTTTGTCGGAGCTATCTTTGCTGGATGTATTCGGCTTTGTTGATGTTGTTGTTGATGTCGGCGTTGTTATCGTTGTTGTTGCTATTGTTGATGTTTGTTTGTCTTGTTGGTGGTAGTGATGGTGATGTTGGTGATGTGAATCAGTGCTGTCGTCCATGAAAACTGATGATGAGGAGGAAGAAGATGAGGAAGATGATGGAATCTCAACGAGAGAGGCGGACACTTCAAAATGAACTTTGAAGACTGTATCTTCTTGTTCCTCGTGTTGCTGGTCACCATTTTGTTGTTGATGTTGTTGCTGGTAGTCATTTAGTTGTTGATGTTGTTGCTGATTGCTGTTTTGTTTTTGTTGCTGTTCAATTTGTGGTTGATTAAAGTTATTCAATTCGTTCTCAATTTCATTACCAGCATTCATCTTGACTTTCTTACTTGCCACAACGTATTCAGGAGATTCAACAATGTTGTCAACCTTGTTGCCAACATTTTTATCCAGGTCCTCATTTTTGTTGCCGGCCACGATGATTTCATCAATTTGCCACTTGAAGGTTACTTTATTTCCTCTGTTTACAGTTTCACGTTCTATGACGTCACCAACATTGGCGTCATCCACTGCAACGTCATCACAAGCACTTCCGTTTCCGTTGTCAACATCTTTTCCGTCGTGTAATTCTTTTCTAAAATCATCGCTCCCAACGATTTTCTTACTCCCATCATCATCATCATCAACAACGGCGAGATCATCATCATCACTGATTACGTCCCACTCAGCTTTTGGAGCCTGTGAAGCCACTTCTGGGAGGTCTGACAAAATTTCATCAAGCGCTTCGGAACATGTAGTTGTTGGTGTTGTTGGTGGTGTGGCTGTTGTCGCTGCTGCTGCTGGTGTTGTCGTTGTTGCGATGATGTGAGACGGCGTTATTGATTTCGGGATTAGTAATATCGGAGGTGGAAATGCTGTTGAAGATGTTGTTGTGTTTGAGAAGGATGTTGTTGTTGCTGTTGTTGTTGCTTTGGCAGTTGTTGTTGCTGATGTTGTTGCTTTTGCAGTTGTTGTAATTTCAGTTGTTGTTGTTGTTGCTGCTGCTGCTGCTGCTGACGGTGTTTCGATACTTTTTATTGCGTTAGGCGATTCTTCCGTCTCAGATAAAATTTTTTCTTGCTGTTTTTTCTCTGCGACGACAACATTGTTTGATATTATTTCACATTCATTTGCGTCTGCTGCTGCTGCTTTTGAAGCTGCTGCTGAGGCTGCTGCTGAGGCTGTTGCTGCAACCATTGATGTCATCGTCGACTTTGATAATACTGATGTTGATGGGATCGTTTCCATACTTCTGCATTAGTTAATTTTCCGCTAATTTAGGCGAGCCAAAAATAAGTCTATGTAAATATCTGTTCAAGTGTTTCAAATCTATCTCTGTAATCTAATATCACAATGAAATGTGGCCAAAATACGACATTATATTGGGGGTAATGTTATTTTTTTATTTTACTATTGCTACAATGTTCAAATAGTCTTAATCACTATGTTATAGAGGATTGTTTACTTGTTTTGAGATGTAGTATTTTTTGATTTTATGAAAAAAAAATTTCTTTTTATTATTCTTAATTTTTAAAAGTTTTATCGAATATCACAGATGTTTTTGCTGGATGAATTAGAAAAATTTATCTGTTGAGGTTGAATTTTTTTTTTATTTTTCGTTTATTGGGGGAAATTTTATTAATTGTGTTGAGGCTTGATGGCTCACGCGTTATTTATACTCATCATTCATCAGTGTTATCTTCATTCTTTTACTCGTTCTTTCTCTCTCCCTCTTTCTTCCTTCCTTCTTCGATTTATTATTTATTTAATTTATGATTTTTTTTATAAATTTTTCTCAATAAATCATTTTTTATTAGTTCAGATGAAAAATGACCCTCCTTTTAAGATTTTTTTTCAAAAAAAAAACTGTCACTTGGATAATTTCCAAGAAATAATATTTAAAGATAATAAAGGCAAAAAATTAAAAAATTTATTATTTCATGTACATGATTTTTGAGTAATTTAACATGAAATAAATACTAACAATTACTATCTTATAGTTGATTTTATTTATTTTCAAATAATTATTTTAAATTTATGTAAATTTTATCCAGAAGTTAGACACGAAGTATTCACAACGCGTGACATGTTTCCAATTTATGGTCGAAGGCAAGGAAGAAATAATGGTAATGCAAACATTATGAAGGGTGCCAAACATGCATGCCTATATGTTTGTTTGTTGGTATGTATGTATGTATGTATGCATGTATGTGTGCATGTATGTATGTATGTATGTATGTATGTATGTATGTATGTATGTATGTATGTATGTATGTATGTATGTATGTATGTATGTATGCATGCATGTATGTATGTATGTGTGTGTGTGTGTGTATATACGTATGTATGTGTTGTGTGTATGTTTTTGTATATTCATTAATTCATTAATTAATTAATTGATTAATTAATTAATTCATTCATTCATTCATACATACATACAAAATTCTGTCATAAAAAATTGTATCATCGACTAATTGTAACCATAACGCTGAAACAGTTGACCGATATTCAACTGCAAATAAATCGATAAATAGCAAAAATATCAACATATACATAATTTTGTATACAATTATTTATAAAGATCACTGCTTTTTTAAATGAGTATAAGCATAAATAATTGTATTTATGATAGTCCAAACCCAAAATAATTTTGTATGTATATATTAACAAATATACCCATATAAACTAATATACATAAACGACCAACATACATACGTAAACATAAAACACACATATACTTACAGACACATAGAGACGGACACATACACAACATGCATACACACATGCATACACACATTCATACACACATACATACACACATACATACACACATACATACACACATACATACACACATATATACACACATGCATACACACATACATACACACATACATACAAACACATACATACAAATGTTTTTAAAACATTTTTCAGTGTTTATTGATCATAAGGAGCGCCATGGAAACAGTAGTAGAAATAGACTGAACCAATGGTAGCCACGCAATAGTATGAATGTAAGAGCATTGTTGTGTTGTTTTTGTCTTGTTCGTTTGTCTTCTTGATATCTTTTCTGTCGAAATTAGGTCAGGTCATAGAGAGAAAGGCAGAAAAAGAAAGGGAGTAAAAAGAAATAGAGAGTGAGAAAGAAAAAACTTAATAAGAAATCAAAAAATAAGATGTCTGTTTATGTTCTGAAAGTCTATCCAGGCTTTCGTTTCATCTCATTTAGATTATTGCAACAGCTTGTTTTATGAACCACCAGACACAACAATCACCATCCTTCTTCCAGTGCAAAACACAAAACTTGTTATTGTTGACCTAAAATTTGATCATGTGACTGACACCGATCTTGAACGAGCTTCACCGGCTGACAATGAATAAAAGAATAGCCTTCGTAATTGCGGTTCTTACCTTCAAATCATTGAATCGTATGTCACCAGATTTATGTGACAAATAAATTCGCCAAAAAAACAAGCTACATCGACCCTCCATCTCAGGTCGGATGATTTGAATTTGCTGTCTGTGCCAGTTTGCAAATTGGTCCAAGAGACATTGCAGTTGCTGGTCCGGCTGTTTGGAATAGTCTTCCACCGGGGCTGAGAAAATCTGGACTTTCATTGGAATTATTTCAGAAAGAATTGAAAACATTATTATTTTCTGTTACACTGTGAAAATTGTGACCTTTTTATTTGACCTTTTAAAATTGTGACCTTTTTTCATATATAGACACGTACATTTTGATCTTTAATGTGAGCGCCCATAAAACAGTTCTAATTAGCGTTAACAAATTGCACTTAATAATAATAATTAATAATAATTATACAACACACACAAACATACAAACATGTAAATTTACATACAAGCATATAGATGTATGTTGGTGTATTTTGAAGGCCTGTCTATACGCATACTGGCCTATAAAGTAAATGAAGCAATCAATAAACTGTACGTCTTTGTTGTACATTATATATATATATATATATATAAGTGTGTGTGTGTGTGTGTGTGTGTGTGTGTGTGTATGTGCGTGTACATATGTGTGCGTGTGTGGGTACTGTGTGTATGTGTTTTATATTTATATTCAATAATAACAATAGCAATGTAATATATCTTATCGATGACATTTATATTATTTACACATCATCAATATTATCGGTTAAACATCCTTTGTATGGATTAGCTCAAGTTACCTAATATAAAACTTAATACGTTTGAGTAAACATTTACACAGACACGAAATAAGAAAATACGGACATACAGACATACATGCACACAGAGACAGAAGTACAGACAGACAATTAGACAAATAGACATGCAGTCAAACAGACAGCTTTGAAAGCTAACGAATACGCAAACAGATGGACAGAAATGCGAACAGACAAGCAGACAGACATGAAGAGAACCGGACATACATATAGACAGACAAGCATATAGCCAGAGGAGTCAGACAATAAAACCGGACATACGTAGAGACCGACGAAAAAGCAGACAGACAGACAGACAGAATGGCGTGCAAACTTGATATTTGTAACGTGTACGCAGGTCTTGTTTGCGCAAGTTCGTACGTACGCAAACACATGAGTCTTTTATTGCATACAACAAACACACACACACAGACACACACACACACACACAGACACACACACACACACACACACACGCAAACAAACACTTGCTCATTAGCCGTGATACGTGCCTGCAAAAAAAGCATATATAAATATATTTAAGGATAGAATTTTTTTAACAAAATTTAGAAATAATGAGTGTATAAATAATTTTGAGAAAAAACACAGAAGCACACACAGACACACACACAGACATACATACACAGACACACACACACACACACACACACACACACAGACACACATTCATAATTCCTTTGCGGACTGATATAAAACGGAGGCATCTGTTGTGTGGCTGCTTTTATTGATATTTTTATTTATTATTATTCATCTTATTATTGCTTATACAATATTAATTATAATTATTATCATCATTGCTTATATAATAATTATGATAATAATAATAATTATTATTATTTTATGATTCATTTTTTTATTTATGTTATGCGATATTGATAACATACCCATTTTGTTTTTATTGATTTCTTTCGGCGCTATAGCTACTATAGGGTAGCATTTGTATCGGTATATTTTGTTTAGTCATTTTTCTTCTTGTTTTTTAACATATTCATCCTTAATTTTATTGCTGCTGCCACTACTACTACCTGTCGTTGTTGCTGTACTAATAGAAGAAGCACAGTAGTAGCAGCAGTAGTTGTAGTAGTAGTTGTAGTAGTAGCAGTAGTAGCAGCAGTAGTAGCAGTAATAGAAATAGTGGTAAAAGTAGTTGTAGTGGTAGTAATTGTAGTAACATCAGCAGTTATTACTCCAATTATATTATTTCATACGTGACTGTGCTATCAATACGTGAGCCATGAAAGAGCCGTGTTTATTCATCCATTCATCCTTCTGTCTATCCAACACACACACGCACACATTCACGCACATATACACACACACATCAACATACATTCGCACATACAGACCTACACAGACATACACGTCCACACACAAACGCATGTATTTTTTTAAATCTTTTAAAATTAATTTTTTAAATATATTGTATAAATAGATATTCTGTAATCTGCATCTGTATGGAAGGATTTGTGAAGCGCCCCTATTTAATAACTTCAGAAGCGCTAGCTTCATTCAAAAATGTCAAAACAAATAATGTTTCAAACGTTTTTTGAAAACATGTCGGCTCGTGTTGTTGAATTTCTTCAAACCTATGGATGGATAGCGAGTTCCAGGTTTTTGCTGTTGAAACAGAAAATCTCCTCTTCCCAAAACGAGACGAATTGGACTTAAGAAGCACAAGATCACCATTATCGGAGGATCTCAGTCGACTTCGATCAGCAATTTTTGTAATTGTAGTTGTTCTTTCAAATAAGTTACATTAAGTTTTGGCATATTTCTATATAGGTTAGCATGGGTCATTCCTTCACTCAACCCAACCAAGCCGGATGGATGGATGGATGGATGGATGGATGGATGGATAGATGGATGGATGGATGGATGGATGGATGGATGGATGGATGGATGGATGGATGGATGGATGGATGGATGGATGGATGGATGGATGGATGGATGGATGGATGGATGGATGGTGCATCAACTCAACATCGTTCACTCATTTTATTTATTCAGCATACCGGTTGATTGATTAATTCGTCCCCTAACTCCTTTTTAAATTATTCAATCGCTCATTCATTCTTTCTTTCATTCGTTCGTTCTTTCGTTCGCTTGCTCGTTCATTTATTTTTTTGTTTGTTCGTTCGTTCGTTCATTTGTTTATTTATTAAATTTCGTTCGTTTGTTCGTTCGATCCATTCAACTGTTTTTTCAATTATTTACTCATGTGGTCATTCATTCATTCATTCATTCATTTATTCATTCATTCATTCGTTCGTTCGTTCGTTCGTTCTTTCTTTCGTTCGTTCGTTTGTTCGTTCATTCATTCATTCGTTCGTTCATTTATTCATTCATTCACTCACTCGTTCGTTCGTTTATTCACTCATGACAAATCGTGTATACAAATTTTAAATTTGGTTAAGTGGAATCATATTTAAATTTGCAGTTTAGTCT